AGATTTCATATTTAGGAGAGAGTAGTTGGACAGCTCAGGTCCCGAGCAGAGTCGGATATCAAAATACTATCAAAATGATATCTAAATTTGTTTTTGAAATCATATTGATAACATATTTTGAAATGATATATTTGTTAATTTCGGTTGAATCCAAATTTTGATATTATTTTGATATTTCTTAAAAATATAATTAAAAACAGAATTTGATATTTTATATAATAAAGCAGCCACATTTATAACTGAAATCAACACTTATTTTCATTTTTACTTCTTACAAGTCAATCAGGATGCTTGCTGTTTTCTTTATGAACATCATAAAGCCAATTAGGATGTTTACAAAGTTGTTTTTCAACATTTATTGATATTAATCAACCTGCGAATTGAATTTACAAATCGATATAAAATTGATTTCGTCCTGTTCGTTTGTAATACTTATACTAATAAATTGCCAAATTTATAATATTAGTTAAATAACTTTCGTTGGCTTAGTCGGTTTCTTAGCTCATATTTAAACGTGATGTAATAAATCTCATTAACTATCAGTTCTCTCCCAACAAAATAATATATCGTCATTCATGTCTGTTAAAATATATTCGATGCGAAGGAATTGATCATTCATAATAATATAAGAGTCATCGTAGACTAATTTTATACATACTTCCTGTGTCCTATATAATTCCACTAGAATTTGTCATAAAAACGAAACTCTAAATTTAAAAACTTCACATCGTCTATTTCTATGCTATTGGATCTAATAAACTTCAATTGTTCGTCATATTTTAACTTTTGTTATTTGTCTATAATGACAAAAGCGATTCATTATATACCTTCTTGTAATTTGTACCACTGGATGATTATTTCCAGTTCTGTACTTTAATATCGCACCATTCGCACTTTATTGACAACATTTTTTTTTATATTTTGAATCTTGATATCAGCCAATATATTTCAAAACATTCAGATTACTAAATTTGATATCATGATATCAAAATAATAACTAATGTAGTTTTACATTTTTTTTTGTTTTCCTACCATAACATATTTATAACTCATTTTGTTTATTATTAACAAAATTACTAATATCAAAACGCATACATGTTATCAAGAAAACATTATTTGTTATTTTAATAAATATCCTACATATACCATTTAGATGTAATTTTTGTTATGATTACTGTTAACTCGACCACACGGTAGGCAAAATATGTTATCACTAACGCTGATATCAAAATATCAAATTTAGTATTCATTTTGTTTTCATTCTCTGCTCGGGGTGCTACTTGCGTATAGTACAATCGAGTAGTGCACGGTGTTATGACGGGAGTAGCACTTTTCAATCGGGAGAGACGTGGCTTAGAGATTGACAAGAATTCCTGCATTTTTTAGACTGGGTGCATAATATTTAGACACTCATATAATATATGTTGCAGTGACTGTATGGTATTCAAAAACGTAGGAAAATGTAAATTTTGATGCTTTTCCTAAAGAGATTTTTTAAGATCGATGTGTTATTTTCTTCACAAGGGGGGTTAGCTCTGGTCGACATTCCGGCGAAAAATCTAAGCCAACCCGACACCAATCTGACTTCTATCAAACCTCAACCCGATGTTGACCCAACATTGACCCGACATTGACCCGACATTGACCTAAAATGGACCCGACAACAACATGTAATTGGGTCGACATCGACCTTAAATTAGCTTTACATTGATCCGATATCGGGTCGACTTGTCTGTTCGGACCATTTTGCTGGGTTTCTTCCACAATCCACTATCGTATATCAAATGATAGTGAGTGACTCAATGACAGTCCAATGAGCTTCGAATGAGAAAGGGGCTCTTCAAATGATGGGCGCGTTTTTTTTTTTTCACGTAGTCGATTTAATAGTTTTTTTTCTTTGATTTGTTTTCCGTCGATCTTGTTTTCCATGCTGAGGCTGAGCACCAATGCTACCGACGCCAGAGAGGCAGCACCCACACCTGGACCCTACACCTATCGACTCATCAACCATGAACCAACAACGGCTTTGGCTTGGCTTTACTTCCCTTCCGAAGGAAGGCGTGATATATCAGAAATGTTATGCCTCAGAACATCCCGGCGGCGCCGACTGGGATTGAACCGAGGCCTGCTGGGGTGAGAGGCAATCACGCTTACCACTACACCACCGGCGCCGCTTGATTTAATAGTTGTATTGGTACATCTTTAATCGAATGATATGAAAATTAACAGCATTGATGCTAGCTATCCTACAACGCTACAGTTATAGAGAAAGTACACTGTCTGAGAAACAAAGAGAGAGAGGAAGAGAATTAACACCGTTGGAGCGACAGCTCTCCAACACAAGAAGAATGAAATCAAGCTGAACATTGCATTAGGCCCTAAGTAACATTGACAGATTCTCTTCGTCGACTTTCTCTTTGCATCCTCATGGCCATGTCAAGACATTCTGCAGCTATTTTCAGCTCACAGATCGACGAAAGAAGCTAATATCTATCTTCTAATACGAAAAACATGGCAAGGAACGGTTCTATACCCAATTTATTAACGAAAGAGAAAGTCGATGAAGAGAATCAATGTTAATTAGGACCTAATGAAATGTTCAGCTTGAAATGTGCTGCACGATTGCAAATGTTCTTTCACGTCTCTTTGGAAATGAAAGTGCTGTCTCGCAACAGCGTGTGTTTTACTCGCAAAAAATTGAGTAGCACCCGATCCCTGGCTTCAATACCAAAGATGGTGATTATAAACATAAATTACAAATTAAATGACCTCCTTCCATACATATCAAGATACCAAACAATCGCTTGCGCAAGTAAACGCAGCCAAATTTGATTTCAACCCTTTCTAGGTATTTTAAGGATTATCGTGTAGGTTGTCCCGACTACAAACAAAGGTAAACATTTTTTGAATTGATCATTTTAGAAAAAAAACAATTATTTTGTTCAATCAATATTTTAAACATTCAATGATCGAGTATAATCACTCTTTACGTCATTTGGAAGCATATAATAACAACTTCAAACAGCATATAAAGAACAACTTCAAACGTCTATTCAATTTAGAGAAAAGTTATATTGAGTTTATTATTGATTTTCACAAAAATCGCCAACTATCCGACTATTTTCATATTTTCTGGTCTATTCTCCGTTGAATAATCTGGTACCGGTGAACAAACACGAATCACGAATCGTAGGAAGTTAGTCTTCATCTTATTAGTCATTTGGATCCCCATAGTGTGAAGCAAAGCAGTTCACATTTTTTAATTTATTTATTTATTTATTTCGTCAAGCAAAGTAGATTGCATACAATCTTTACGTTGTAGCATGTAAGTAGCATTATTTCTATTTCCGCTTAGTCGAATTTTAATTTGGTTGTTGGTCGTTTTTGGCGATTACAACCTTTCCCACTTGCCATGGTCTTTGACGAAAATGTCGGTGCCCACGAACGCTTCCTCTGAGCAGGAGTTTGAGTTAATCGAGAACATGGTGGCCAGTTTATATTCCTGGTGTTGTCTATCAAAAGATTTGAGATCACCAGTTTTTACACATTTACATTGATGTTGGTTCTCTGTGTAATTAAAGCATATCTGGCAATAACGGAGTGCAACAGCGTGCGGTCAATCTTGCTCATGGTCATGCTATTGTAAGAAAATTTATACATTCTGGGATGCTTATATAAAAATAATTTGATTGGTACACCTTTTCGATCTGATTCAGACCAATTTGAACATTTCTGGCTGAATTTCAAACTAGGTCAATTATGGATTCAAGGGGCACATGACCTACCGTGGACTCTACCTCCGCCTGTGAGCTCAAGCACCACATTTCCAAGTACACACAACAACAAAACTCAAATTGAGGACGCTGCTGATGGTGGATCGGAGCGTGCGCTCGCAGTCATGGAATGGAGACCACAAAAACAAATTAGTACTAACGGTTTCCGAGCTTGGGCGTCATCGCTTGGACATGAAGTGAGGGCTCAAGAAGAAAACAAAACAAACGACGATGTGTGAAATACACCCCCACAACTAATTGAATGAAAAGGGAGTAATGAACCCATTAAAGACGGAGGCGGCGGCGGCTCCATTTTAGATGAGTCACGAGATCAAACGTGATCAAGTCCTTTACTTTTTTGAATTAGAATCCAAAAACACGTTTTTACCATGTCACATGTATGCTATTGGGAAAAGTTGATGGGAACCGCTAGCCCGCCAACAACAGCCAACGCACGTTCAAGATTAGAATACGTGATGACCTAACAAGAACCTAGAGCAGTTTGACCAGCAACTCAACCGTGAAACCCAATCCGTACCCACATACCAACTGGATGTTTATAAATATAGTCCCTGCTTGTGCAGTGATTCCACGCAATTTCAACGAAACCTGATGGCGGGCGTACGAGCAGTCTCGACGCGTCGCAGCATGAATGGGTAATTAATTAACATGGTTCGCGACGATGTAGTTGTTACTTCTGCATGTTGTCCGCCTCCTCCGCCACAAGACACACATGAAAATGAAACGGGACGAGTACTGTCATACCCGTGTTCCTATGGGAACCAAATTTATGAGGGCACATTAACCTGGGTACTGATACAATGTCCTCTTTGCCGTCTCATTGTTTGTTTGCTGCCATGGGAAGGAACGGATGAAGCAGTTCCGATGAACTAGCGCACAATTTATGACGATCGTTAAATTTGAGCATCCTTTAAGTGGTCGATAGGGACTAGTTTATGGGAGTTCTTACACCTTTGCAAGCACTGTATTGACAGATAATGGCGTGCATTAAAAGAAGGAATGCTGTTCAATGCGGGCTTGTTGTTAATTCACATTCTCTGTTTCTAAACTATTGCCATAAAACAACATCCTATGTGATAAATACAATCTTAGTGAGAAAAATTACACCTAACGGCAAGCTTTACATTTAATCCTTCTAGAAATGTTTCCATATATCACTAAAATACCAACTCTCTCTCTCTCTCTTCCATTCTTCCCCACCTCCAGGCAACTTCTACTTTGCTCAAAATCAGAACCGCTTTGTGCCATCGTCATCGTTCGAAAATTCCCGGAATGGGTTTTTTCCTTCAACGCTGAACCGAAATCAACCGCCCGACTCGTACCAGGAGCAGACCCTCTTCGTCGACAGTAGCAGTACCAACAGTAGGCGTCTGGGTAGTCGAACCATCGGCCAGCAGCAGAGCCTCGCTTCCGAACGGGGATCGCCGCTAGACCACGTCGGTGATGGCGTAACGCCACCGTCGTACTTCCAATTCACCTATACGGTAAGTCTCTGCAGAGTGATGCTTTCTATGCGTTTGTTTTAGAGTTTGTGCGTGCTTTTGATTAGTATTATTAGGAGCGATTGATTGCTCAGCATATTATCATTGTGTAGTTATGGTTGGTTTGTGGTATTTTCTGCAACTAACAACCAATTGTTGTTGTTGTATCACACGGTTATGATGGCATTTTGGAATAAATTGTTCGATGTTATCGTTGATTGTTTTTATCATGCGAGTGACTGAATGTGAACAAATTAGCGCAGTACTGCTGCTTTAATTCTGTATCTCTAGTTTAACACATTGACTGACCTAGCGGCGAGCGAGGAGCAGTTTCCAGTTATAGATAAGAGATCCGTCCGTGTGGAGAGAGGAAAAAAGGCAATACTTGGAACGACCTTGCCACACTTTTCGCTCCGTCGTCGGTTGTTGTATATTGGGCCTGAGGCACCTGTCACTCTCGTTTTTTACTCATTTACACGCTCCAGCTATCCGTAGCTAGCAGCTAACAAAAACAGGTTCCAAGCGGAGAAAAGTGTCTAGAAAAGGGTTTTTAAACGAATTGCTCTTAGAAAATAATGATATAGAAAAAAAATTATGGTTCTTTAAGCTAAACTAAATGGCCTCCGTAACTTGAGAGGTTGTGATTGAAATCCAATTATTTCAGTACACCAAAGATGCATCAAATGTTGAGATATGCACTGGCATCAGCTTAATTTCATACATGATGACCATATTTTGTAATTTTATCACCAAGCCGGAGGGGGCGGGTTCGATTTCCGGTCTAATATAGAAATACTTTTGGGCTGGACATTTTCTTGACTTCCCTGGGCATAGAGTAACATGCATTGGTTGGTATAAACAGTTCTCATTTAACATCTGTGGAAGTGCTTCGAAGAACACTAAGTTGACATAAGTATCAAGCTCGAGTAAGAGCGTCAATGTGGGTAATAGAGCAAAGACGACAAATCAAGTCTACTTGAATTTTTTTTATTTCAAATGAAATTCCACGACGGGCTCAGACTACTTCTAGCATTCTAGAGCCAGCTGCATGAAGACCACCCAAGCAACAATTTTGGTTTTATCCAAGTTGAATAAGCGAGATGATTTATACATTTACATTGCTGTGGCGAAATTCGCTCAGTCGGAAACAAACTTTGATCGAACATTTGAGAAACATAAAAAAATGGAGTAACAATCAGAAATATTGAATTTTGTTCATGCTTATTAGAGTGATGCAAAATTTGAAATTTTCGCTCCACAATACTTAAACGATTCCAAATCTGATCTTGACTAACCTCTCAAAATTTGAACCCATTTGGTGAGAAACTGAGATGGCACAAACCATTTGAAGTTTGTATGTGAATTACTATGGGAAAACCAAGATTTTTGTTCATGTCTATCTAATAATTCACCATATCGGTTTGCTTCAAAAACTTTCAACTGTGCTTGTAGGAAATTTTCCCAGCTACAACTTTGCTGAAGACCATTTTTTGATTAAATGCAAGGATCGAAAGTTATCAATGGTTCAATGCGCTGATGTCTTATGATCATGCTCAATCAACTGATCAGCAGGCAACATTGGTGTTTCTGGGGCGTTGAATAGGACACAAAAATCATGGCTACTATGTCACACTGCAAAATACAGTGTTGCCTACAGAGCAGCTGCTTGATCATGTCATAAGTTTAACAATCTCTTAAATAATTAATAACTTTTTCCTGTCTCGTTTTACATAGAAATGATCTGCAGCAAAGTTGTAGCTGAGAAAATTCTATAAGAATGGCTATCGAACTGTTTCGCAGCTCAATATGGAAAAAGACTAGAAGGCAATGAGCAAAAAGTTGAGATTTCCCATAGTAATTTACATGTAAACTTCAAATGGTTCTCAATATTACAGCTATGTCCTAATTTTACCATCCCCTTTTTGAAAATCTTTTCTAATGTTTTACGAAACCCATGCCCCTTTTCAGTGGTCTTATTGCACCAAAGTATACTTTAAACATCCATATTAAAGACGAATGAGAAAAATTTTGAGTTTAAACAAAAATCTGGAGATCTCCAGATGATCCCGTTCGGGCGCCAATACTCAATGATTTCAATTGTAATATAAGTCGAAACAAGAATAATTAACGAAACCTAACCTCGAGTAAGCCACGAGTAATCGGCCCAACTCCTACTAGACATAGAATTAAGTGAATCTTGTTACACACAGTGAACAATGAATTATCGGCTCCGTAAAGCTAACGCGATTGAGCCTTCCAAATAAACGAACTAGATAAAAAAAAAAATTAACGAAACCCTTATCCCCAAACTCCTCCAATTTTCCTATCCTTCGACCATGTACCCCTTTAACCGAGTATTGGGCCCAACTCCTACTAGACATAGAATTAAGTAAATGTTGTTACAAACAAAGCCCAATTAATTATCGGCTCTGTAAATCTAACGCAATTGAGCCTTACAAATAAACGAACTGGATAAATAAAGCATAATTCAATAAAACTTTAATAACATGATGAAAAGAACAATTATTGAAAAGTATTCATGAGCAGGGTTTTTAATCAATAACCATCGATAACGTCTGCGTTAACGTCTGAAATGCAAACTCACCATTGCAGACGTTAACGCTGATGTTATCGACGGTTATCGAACAACCCTGTGCATGAGCAATTAATTTTATAAATCAATCAATACTGTACGTTGAAATCAGATCAGATTTCAAATACAGTCAAGTCTCATTCTCTTTAACACCATATTATTCCCTAGCCTGGTTTAACTCCAGGCTTCTTTCAACCACATTTCCCATGCAGAGTTCAAAACTGAACCACCGTAACTCGCAAATATTTATCTAGAACGAGTTTACTGTAATATGGTTTACCTTTATTTCGCTTCCTTGTTTTCTCCCTCTCTCTTTTTCTCTCTCATTATCATATTTCTCACGCTGCATCTATCACTGCAACGATGCTGATTGCGATATATCAATATCTAAGCGTAAGTCCATATAAGTGAAGATATCGTAAAATCGACAAAATTTTTGCTTCAAGTATCATAAAATCACGTTTTCACTTATATAGGAGCATATGTTTTATTTGAAAAAGATCATCATTCGACATTTTGGACATGTACCCCTTTTTTTTCTCTCGTCTGTAGAGCCATTTTACAACTGCGTCCATTACTTACACGCAGGCAAAAGAACGTAAGAATTCCATAAGAAACACTTATGAATTCAGCCACAAGAAATCAGTATGAATGTCATTGATTTGCCTTATGAAAAATAATGTTGACAAAAAAATAATAAATCGGAGCAGACTGGAACCGAACCATGAACGTTGAGATTACGGAGCTCGTGTGTCGACCACTCGTCTTTCAACGCTTAAGAAAATGGAATGGCTAAAGGCGTATAAGAGCTACGTTATGTTAGATGAAAATCTTTCATAAGTCGCACATATGAAATTCATATTTGTCGTTCATAAGTCGAGTCTTATGAAACTCTTAAGTCTATTTGCCTCAGTGTAGGAATATTGTTGTATGACCCATCTTTAATGTGGTGCTAGACGCATATCTTGTCACAATTAAGGTGTGATAGACATAGCACAGTGGCCAAAATGCAGATTTAGGTGGAATGATATGTTTTGATCCTGAAATTGCAACTTTAGACTAAAAGTCTCTTCTACAAAGTTGTTCCTTATAGTTAGGCCCTCATTTTTATGACAATGAATTCTAGGGTGGTGCCTATTATCATTAAAATCAAAAATCTAACTTGTTTGAATAAATTAAGGTATACATTCTTGAGCAAAGTTATAGCTGAGCTAATTTCAAGCAACTTTGTTGAAAATAACTTTTTTGTATCTCTTAAATTGACCGATTTAGAGCTATTTTTTTAGCAATAACTTTTTTATTTGAGACTTATCATGAAAGTCATCTTCTAGAGACATTTAAAACTCTTTAAGACAAATATTTTATAGCTGTATTTGTTGCCTATATCTCTTCTAGTAAAAAAGATATACCCAAATATAGCAAAAAATGTGAATAATTTCAAAATAAATTTATACGAGTTTGAAAAATAACATACCTCTAATTTTTTCATATTATTGAGAATAACATACGACCTTTCAAATGCCGTAAAAAAAACTTCTTTTTTGTTTGCCCCAACCAGAGATATTAACAATTGAAAAGTATATATTTTTAGTATAAAAACGTCGATAACTCTTGATCGGCGAAAGATATTGACAACCTTTGTGCAGCAAAAATTTGCGCCTTCTTAAGATCTAAAAGTTATTTGAAGACACCTTTGCTGAAAAATTTGAAATAAGAAAACTAGAGCAAAACAACTGTTTTTTTAAGAGCCACCCTAACTCAATTCAAGAAAATAGCTCTAAATAGGCCAATTTAAGAGGTACAAAAAAGTTGAGAGTTGCTTGAAATTAGCTCAGCTATAACTTTGCCGAAGAATGTATACCTTAATTTATTCAAACAAAAAAGTTAGATTTTTGATTTTAAAGATAATAGGAACCACCCGAGAATTTAGTTTCCGGTCCAAAGTAACATCTAGAGTAGGCTGTACCAACATAACTTGTGTTCTTTTGGTGAAAGGTACTATGACAGTTTTTGAATGGTGTACATTTAAGCCCTCGTTCCTGCACCACTTGAAGATCATGTTGAGCGCAGTTTGTAAACGATTAGAAATCGTATTTTAATATTTTCCATGCACCGTAATGGCCACATAATCTGCGTAATTCACCTCGAAACCTTGCTCCGCCACTTTTAAGGAGTTTGTTCACTACAGACCACAATAAGGGTGATAGTACCCCTCTATGAGTTAGTTGGGCATCTCCAAGATCAGTAGATATTTCTCGATCTGTGAGGTTTGCCATACATAAACCTCTTGCGCGACCTCTGAATGGCAACGAAAAAGCTTACTTTTTGATATGTTACTTAATTAGTCTCAATAATCATTTTCCACATGGGAAAACATGTCCCACACATTTTTTAAAAATAAGCCCCACCA